TCAAACAGAAAATTAACAGCTCCACAAATAATGAGAGAATACAATAAAACTGCTGAAAAACTTGTTTGTGTCCAGTTTATAATAAAAGAAACGAAAAAGAAAAAACTTTTATTATGGAACTTTAAATTTCATGTCTAACGACAACCATCAGCAATATCTGATTTTATGGCAATATATATCTAATATATGGCTGATGATTAATATTATGATTTATGGCTGATGATTGCCGTTAGGCATAAAACTTAAAGTTCCATAATAAAAGCTTTTTCCTTTTCGCCTCAAATTCAAATTTCATATTTCAGACTTTCAACCTTTTTTTTTTTAGCCCATTTTGGGCACGTTTGAAAAGGTTTTAAAGCTCAAAAAAATTAAGTTAAAAAAAAAAGTTAAAAAATTCCATTGTGTCTTCATAGCTTGAAGAACCAAATATAATTTTATTTATGGGAAATATTATAGGTAAATCTCTCTGCAAAATCGCAAATTTATGCAATTTTTTCATATTATTGTGCATTACGGTAACCTTTCAGAAGTTTATTTAATTTTTGAAGAAGCACCACATATATGTTGTATAAACCGTCAAGCAAACTCATACAACAAATTTCTTATTAAATTATTATTTTTAATAAAATATTTATTCAGTGTTTGTTGTTTTTCTAGGTGATCTTGTTTTTTCCTTTAAAATTAATTTTGCAGTTGTTTAAAAATATAAGCAAAACCTGTCTTTTCTCTTCATTTATAACAACATCGATGTTGTTCTTTATGAGCTTAAAAGTATTTTTTTAATGCACCTTTTGTTTTTTGGTTGGCTAACTAGATGCTCCAGGAAGTCCTAATAACAGATACGGTATAATCTCAGAGCACTGTGGAAGAGCATTTAAAAGGAAGTTTATATCTTTTTCTTTACTGATGTGGTAAAACCTGCCTGGAGCTGGCTTTAAAACACGAATCCTCTTGCATCTGACGCTAGCGCACTACTTCTCCGCCGCGGCTGAAGTTTTTTCAGAGGAATGAATAATAACAGCAATATGAAAAACAGCATTCTGAAATTATAAGTATAAATCTTTGCAATTGCAGTATTTGGAGACAGAGGAAAGGGATCCATTGACAGACACTTTTACTTTGGTCTATCATTAGGAACAAGAGCCACAAGTTTTCTATGGCCAATCGAACTAAATTTGGTGGCAAAGAATTGAGGATATCTATGTTTGCTCTTATTTAGGCTGATGGGTATTCTCCCATAGTTTTTGAAAAGTTTCACCTCTTTCTTCACACTTTTATTCAGCTAGAGCTATCACAATAAGGTAAGGGTTCAGAAACTATGTGTGTTGTTTGATAGATTTAAAGCCTGATTCTGTTAAACCTGGTTTTACTTCTGGTTTTACTACTTTTAATGTAAAACACACACACTTACATATATATATATATATATATATATATATATATATATATATATATATATATATATATATATATATATATATATATATATATATATATATATATATATATATATATATATATATATATATATATATATATATATATATATATATATATATATATATATATATATATATATATATATATATATATATATATAGATAGATATAGATATACACAGTGGTGGCCAAATTATTAGACTACACTACAAAACCGAGATTATTTTCGAATGTACCTACTTTGGCACAAATTATTTATTAAATTAGTGTATATATAGTTACTGATAGTTACTGCATGTAATCTGATAGTTATTCCCTAATCTTGCTTAAGTGATAATAAGTGCAATTTATTTTTATTTTTGCTTAAGATCCATTTTATTGAAAATCTTAACTGTAAATTAAATATTTAAATTTGGTCAGTTGCTATCTGTTAGAGGTCAGTATTTTCTTATTTGTTTGATGTTTATGAGCAGAAATTAAAGGAAAATGTTAATAAGAGTTGCTTGACATTATATTAAGGTCAATCTTTTTTTTATTATTATTTTCTACATTAAAAATGAAGAAACATGTTTAATTAATAAAGCATTTTATGTCCTTTTAATAGATGGGAAAAGCTGCTGACTTGTCACCGACAAAGTTGGCGAGAGTTGAGGTTTATCTACGAGAGACATTATTCACGAAAAAGGAAATTGCTTAAAATTTTAGAATAAGTCAGAAATCTGTATTGAGAATGAAGAAGAAGATGCAGACTGGTGAAAAATTACGAGTCGACCGTATTGGCAATTACGGCAGAAAAAATTAATGTCTTTGCGAGATAACATGTACCTCATAAAATACTGTAAAGCAACAAGCAAGATGTTGCACAAAGAATTATAAAAAAATAATTTACAAGTGAATACCAGAACAGTCAGTTAGAATGTTCTGGTACTTACATTGACAAAGACAATTAAGTTTGACCGTCGAGCTTGAGTTTTCAAGCTCGACGGCCACGCAGAAAACCAAAGCAGACTCCAGCAATGATCAAGAAATGTGGGGGAAAGCAACACAAGAATTTTACTAAAAATAATTGGATTCAGGTGTGTTTCAGTGATGAATCATCCTTTTACATCATGGATGAGAAAGCAGCCTATGTACATAGGAGACCCGGTGAAGAATTTCATCCTGACTGGGTTGCAGAAACAGTAAAGCACCCAACGTATGTCATGGTCTGGTCAGTTATCTCTATTCATGAGCCTGGACGACTGTATATTGTTGAAGGCACCATAAATCATGTTCAATACAAGAAGGTGCTTGAGACACAACTTCTGCCTCAACTTTACAAATGGTGTTGACGGAGACCGCTCACTTTTATGCAAGATGGAGCACCTTGTCACACTGCGAAGACAGCAAGAAATACTTAGCTGACAGCCACATTAAGCTTTTGCAGTGGCATGGTAATTCACCTAACATAAACCCTATTGAGAACCTGTGGAAGATTGTCAAAAGAAGAGTAAGAGGGATGAAACCGTTACAATAAATCTATTATGACATCTTACAATAAATCTATTATAACCTCTTTCAACAAGTCTATTATAACCTCTTACAATAAGTCTATTATAACCTCTTACAATAAATCTATTATAACCTTTTACAATAAGTCTATTATAAACTCTTACAATAAGTATTTATAAGTAATAATCCTCAATAAAATAAAAAATTGTGAAGTGCTTTGTTTAGAAAAGATTATATTTTAGCTGTTTTATTATTAAAATTGCTTCTTTCATAATCGAACCCTTGTATAATATATTTACGCATTTCTTATTTTTAATTTGATACCTGACATGGAGCTATAAAGGCTATTTTAGCTTTGAGAAACCAGTAGTTTAGAAAGTTTGTAATAAAGTTGCCACTTCAGTAGTTTCATGTATTAAATATTTCGTAAGAAGGAGCTTTAGGTAGTAGATACCAAAAATAAATTTACTATAAATTCTTTTTCATTAAAAAGCTAAATATTTGTTTATGTGCAGCAAAATTCATTCCTTTGCCAAAAAGCTACGATTCCTTTCCTTTTTCCATAAAGTAGGCATGGTAGGCTCCAAGAAGTATAATACTTGTACTTGTCCTCAGAAACTACATTAGAAATTACATAGCTTAAAGTAGAACTTCATTGTAACCACAGCCAAAAAATGAAAGTAAATCAGAAAATATAGGTACAATTAACTATACATAGGTATGTATATACATACCTATGTATACATACCTATGTATACATACCTGTGTATACATACCTATGTATACATACCTATGTATACATACCTATGTATACATACCTATGTATACATACCTATGTATACATACCTATGTATATTTAATATGTACTGTGTACTATGTAGCAATTACAGAAGAACCAAGCAATTAGTAAATTCTAAAGAATTGCTGATTTCTAGAAAACAATAAAACTTTTTATCGAGAATAAATTGCTACATATTAAATACTACATAGAAACCAACAAGTTCAGATATCAAGTTATTGAGGTACGTTATCAAGATTTTTTGATAACGTTCCTCAGGAATCCTCAATCTTCACCATTTTAACACAAAAGCGGAAATATAAAAATGTCCACTTTTGTACCCCATTCACTACACAATTCTCTTTATCAAGATCATCTCATACTTATTTTACATCAAGATCATTCTATGCTGTTCACACATAGTTTCTGGACCCTTGTCTTAATTTGCAATTGCACAATATTTACTATAACCCGAGCTGATAAAAATTGTGAGTAAAGAATATCCAGTGCCAACATTAGAGTCCTCGATGCTTTAGATTTCACAAAAAAATTCGTGGCTTGTGTTACTTATGATTGCTTAAAGTGTAACTGTAAATGGATGAACCCTCCTTCCTTCGAATAATGCACTTGTAATGATTTCTACCTAAAATTTCCGGATGCTGTTTTTCATCTTGCTGTTGTTAATGATTGGTCTGAAAAAAACTATCAAGTTTATAAGGTACAACATTGATGTTGATAGACACAAAGAGGTGAAGCAGGTTTATGACTTTAGAGACAATTTTAAATGACCTGATTGTAACTCTTTTAAAGGAATATGTGAAATACGATTTAAATGGTACCATTTAAACAAATAAAAAAAGCAGAAAAAAGAAATGAATTTACAATATTGATTTTTTAAACGCAAATAAAAATACAAAGTAAATTTGAAAATACAAAATAAATATAAAAATATAGAGTATATACAATATAAAATATATTAAAAATCTATGAATAAATATGTTTTTATAAAGATTGTATGTATGTATATATATATATATATATATATATATATATATATATATATATATATATATATATATATATATATATATATATATATATATATATATATATATATATATATATATATATATATATATATATATATATATATATATATATATATATATATATATATATATATATATATATATTTATATATATATGTATATATATATATATATATATATATATATATATATATATATATATATATATATATATATATGAATGTTTTTATAAATATTGCTAACATTAATAAATAAAAAATGTATTGTTTTAACTGTATAAATGTTTTTAAATTATATTAGCATTAAATAAACATCTCCTTGGTCTACAAGAATGCTTTTAGTTAGTATAAGTTGAAATTTATTTAAATCATATGTTCGTAAGCTACTACTATTTCTCTGGTCTTTAAAACGTACATGCGTGCATTTATATGCTTGTTGCAATCTTTTACCTCCTCTAAATATAAGATTTCTTTTTTTACTTTTTTACATTTATTTGCGTTCAAAGAGTTTACGAGTATTACTTCCATAATATTTTCTGGAATAGTAACTTTACCGAGCAAATCAGGAATTTTTATTGATTTTATTTCACAGACCGGTTTTTTATTTGAAAATGTATGAAAATGAAATAAGTTTTTTTTATTATACTCATTGTTTGAGCTAGTAGTGAGAACTTTTTCTATAGATGGTTTAATAACAATGTAGTTTTCAAGCAATATTTTTAATTCAAGCATAGGATCTTCATGTTTGCTGATGGGACATGGTTGATAAACAATTGGTGCTGTTTGAAACATTGCTATCTAAAAAAATGTTTGAATAAAAAACATACGAAATGATATTTAAAAATATATATACTTATATTTATATTAAATTTTTAATACCAATTTCAGGAATCCAGCAAAAAAAAAATGCAAATTGATGAATTTAAATCTTTCACACATTTAGGGGGAAAAAAAAAGAATTTGACAAAGCAATTTTCCCGAAAAAAGAATGGGTTCTACTTTATATCTATTTACGCGAGTTACATCCAAAAATGAAAATTTAGTTATACAAGATATACTGTCGAGCAATTTTATATTAAAGAATTGAATGTTTAGGCTTATAAAAAAAAAAGAAATAAAAAATCTACAAACAACTGAATTTTTGAAATTTCATTCTAAGGTTTGCTTGGTTTTCTTTCTTTCTCGAATGAAATCGCCACAAATAATAAATACAAGTAAAATAGAAGAAGCAAACAGAAAAATTTAAACAACGAAATTTCTTTGTTTTTTCAAAGATTATATTTTCAAAGAATGATATAACAAAAACTTTTTTTATTGAATTCAGTCATAACATGAAAGAGAAATAAATTATAAATGAAAAAATGGTCAAACATCATCACTGAAATATATAACATATGTAATATAGGGGAGACCGTAGCAAAATGACGAGCGGGGCAAGATGAAAAATGTCATTAATCTTCAGTTTTTCACTAGGTGGCAGCACTAATCGAACACTACTAACTCTCCTATAGGCTGTTTGTTAAAAAATATTTTAAAGGCGCCGAAATTGCTATTTTTGTATTAGTTATGAAGCTTTGATTGTTTACTGCTGACACACAACTTTTATGCATGCGTAAATAAGCTTTGCCGCCGAAACAGGTTAGACATTTTGTCTATCGTTCTTATTTTGAACTTAATTAATTCTAACACTATCTGTTACCATGAATAAATGTTAATTAATTGCCTTCCTTCATGGGAATAAAAACGAATATTCGAAAACAGCCAATTCGGGGCAAGAGGACGGGGACAAGATGACGAGCTTGTGTTTAGCAAAAATGACTTTGCTGCTGCAAAAACTACCAACCATGATGTTGATGGTGATGAAACTGAGAATAATAGTGCTGCTTTTCAGAACCTTATAGTAGAAAAAAAATTATAAACCCTCCAGAAGAAACAAAACTTATTGTAAATGCTGAATCCGATGGGCTAAAAAAGCCTGTCAGTATTTTTGATTTAAAACCATTGCCTAAAGCAAAACGATAGCTGAAAAACTTATCATTTGTTAAACAATGTAACAAAATAGGAAAAAAAAATGTGTTCAACTTTTTTTTTTAGTGTTGTCATCTTGCCCCAAGGTCAAAAACATCTTGCTCCAATGCTGGGGCAAGATGAAAATTTGATATGGTTGTGGAAAAATGAAATTATCCTTTATTTCTTTCATTTAAATAATTAAGTTGTAATATATTTAATCGTAATATATTAATCTAACAGTTCATGTAAAATTAATTTTACTATCTTTAAAAATAAAATAATAAACAACTTAAACTTAAATTGTTAACGTAGTCATTTTGCCCCGGTCTCCCCTATATCATATGCAATATATATAAAATTAATGGTATCAATAAAAACAAATTTGATATTATTAAAATGAAGGAAATTATTTAAATACTTGAACAAATGCTATAAGATAAACAAAAAACTACAGCTGGGACTATAGAGAGATTACGCTGAGACTGAGACAAGTTGTTTAATTGAACAAAAATTATAAAAAAACTTTTACAGTAAAAATGCAACAAAGCTGTTGGACTTATTAATTCAAATTTTAGTGTTACGACTTATTAATTTAAGCACTATTATTAGTATTATATACTTATAGTATTACTGACAGGTTTTTGCAAATAATATTGATTGTAAATTTGTTACTATCGCCTCCAACGGCATTAATTGATATTTGAAAAACAGCAAATAAATTTTTTTTATAAATATATACAACTTTATTTAAATAGTAAAACTTATATGGAGTTGAAATTTAAAGCAATAAAAAATAAAATTAAAAAATGCTAAAATTAACAATAAGGAACTTACCAAGAGCATGTAGGTTAGAAATGTTAATAGCATGTTTAGTATACTAATATATATATATATATATATATATATATATATATATATATATATATATCAATAATAATGTTTATTTCTTTATTTCTTTTTAATGTTACGTTAAAGCACCTAATATTTTGACTGGTAAATTGTTGTGAGTACTAAATTTTAACTGCATATAAATATTAGTAACAACTATTTTATATAATAATGAGATGAGTCATATATTCGACGACACTTTTGTTTTCCAGGTTTGAAAACATTAAAGGTTTCATTACGTAAAGTAGCTGCAAAAGAAAATTGTATAGCGTAGTTATTACGAAACTCCTCTAGGTATTCCAAATCAGCTAAACTGCAACGAAACTGCTTACGTAAAGAAAACTTTTTAGAATAAAATTTTATGTAGAAAATATCGCAAGCCATCAATAAATATTTTTCCATTTTAGGTAATATATTCATTTATACAACAGGTTGGTCGGCTCAAACAAGCCAATATATTCGGACCAAGCATTTTAAGGGCGTCTAAACAAATATAAAAACTTAATTCTACCTTGACCTGTTACCTTTACAAGATTCAATATTTAGAACGGTAAAACTACGTTTGCCTCTCAAAAACTTAAATCATATAAACTTGATGTTTTTTTGTTGTTATTTTTATAAGACCTTTAACGAATTTTATATTACTTTAGTAAGCACAAGATAGATGTGTTTACACGTCTAAAAATATATTAAACGTATTAACATCATTTTAGACTTATTAAATACGTTTGGTGGTTAAAATCTACATTATGAATTTAAAACTATTTTTCAATTTAAAAAATTATTTAAAAAATTTTGTTAAAGAAAAATATAAAAAATAATAGGGAGTATATGATACATTATTATATGAATAATTAATTTTGTTCATTAAAATGTTATATACAAAAGTTTCTTATTTTAACTATTTTGTTATTTTTAATTTTTATTTTTTTATTTTTATTGTTTTATCTTTTATTTTAATTGTTTTATTTTTATTATTTTATTATTTTTATTTTTATTGTTTTAACCTAAATTTATTTACAACTCAGTAATTATTTCGATATATTGTAAATTAATTAGAAAAATTTGAAAATTAAGTAACATAATAACGAAAATAATATTTTGGAAAGTTTATCACACATTTATTATTCACACACACAAGCATTTTGCTTTATCAAGTTTGAGTTTCAAATTTTTTTCTGTAATATAATTCTCCCCCCCCCCCCCACCTCCCCTCATTTCTATAAATCCGGTATTATGCTTTTCCGATTTTATGACTTTCTTTTTTTTTTTTCCCCAGAAATTTATCACCTAGACTTTTTTTTTCTAATTCAATTATAATTGAATATGTATGAATTGAAGTATGATCATAAAATATTTTCTGTTTAATCTGAACAAAAATAACAGATAATACCTATGGTTAAAACTTTTTCTTTTTATAAAATTTTATATATAGGTCTTTTGTTTTTACTCATTATACTGCTACGTCAATAGTGCTAAGTCAAACTATCAATGAAATAAATATAATACAAACTATAAAATGAAACTACAACTGTTTTTCTTAACCTTTTTAAGTATCTATTTATTAATAAGTAATTATTAACATGCAAACAAAAAAACAACATTTGCGTGGCAGTGAGGGAATCAGTATTTACTGATAATAAATTAAAGAGAAATAAAGTTGTAGTTTCATTTTATAGTTAATATTATAATTAATTAAATGTAATTAATAAATAAAACTCATTGGTTTGACATTTGATTTTACATTAACGTTAAATTTGCATAATTACTGATTCAATAATTTGTGACGACACAAATTACTGAATTAGTAATTATGTAACACGACGTTTATATGAAATCAATGACAAAAAGCCTTTAACGTGAAAAATGTCAAAATGTATATCAGCATACGCGCATTATACTGTTTCTTCTTTTTTTGAATCAAAATTAAAACAGAGTGTTTTAAATAGGTTAAAAGATTCTTTGACTTCAGATGAGCTTTTTCCCTTAATTTTTTTAATTTTTTTTTGAGTGAATTTAAAAATAACTTAGTCACTAAGCAAATATTAATATTTTTCATATTTAATTTATTTTTTGTAAAAATCTTATATTTGCCTTTTAATCATTCTTAACCAAGTATTTATGTTGTGTATAATATCTATTAGTTAATTTTTCCAGCTACCATTATTAATAAATTTGAATTCATTTTTTGATTAGTGTGGGCAACTTCAGGCTGATTAACATTTTTTTCAATTTGTACTCATTTTTCATATTATTTTATATTATTAATCTATAGCTTTTATTATAATCATTTATTTTTTTTAATGTTTTTTATTTTACTTTATATAAACTTTTCTTTCATATGTTACTTAAAATTATCAAAATTTTGGCTCAACTTTTATTTAAAACGTTTATTGAAAAATCTTTCAATACTTTTATCTTGCAATACTTTTATCTTGCAATACTCTTTTTATGCAATACTTCTTTTACCTTGTCATAATTTTTTTTAAAGCATATGCTTTGTAAAAAATTATAACAAAAAAAAAAAAAAAAAAAAGGTGGTTGTATATACACCTTTTTTATATATATAAAACTTTTTTATATGATGTCATAATAAACAGTTTATTACTTTTTCAGAATTTATTACCGTGATAGTATTATTCAAATATATTTCTAAATACGTACTTCCCACGCTAATGTCTTATTTTTTAATCCTTTGTAGGAATAGTAAGGGGTGGAAAACTTACCACTCTTAAGGAAGCGTAATCTTCCTACTTAAATGCTTCTCCGCGGTGCTCAATTGGAAGACCAGTAAGTCTTTTTGAAGTACCTTAACTGCCAAAAAAATAAAAAAACCATGAGAGCTACGGTAAACTTTTTTGAGTTTATTTCAACATAAAAAAAGTTATGGTAAACAGTAGTTATATTTGAGTTGGTTTTTTTTAAAACTTTACCTCCGTTTTTTTGACTAATAATTTGATAAAATTTTACTAAGCAGGGCCGATGACACCGGGGGAAACATTAAGAAACTATCAACAGATAATAGACTAAAAACTTTGCGTTAAACTGTTTAATATGATTTCATTAATAATATTTTTTAAGAAGATGCAGCTCATTGCTTTAACAAAAACAAATTTGCTATGTTTATATTAATCTTAAGCTGGGGGTACATTTATCAAAAGCTTTTGACAGCTTTGATAATTGTATTTTGTTAGAAAAGTAGAAGCATTTTGAATACTTAATAAGGTCTACTATTAGATTGAAAGTTACCTCGCTAATAGAAAACAATATGTTCTAAGTAAGGAATGCTTTGAATCCAGTGCGGAGTACCACAAGGATTGATATTTAGATCTCTTTTATACTTAGTTAATAGAAAAATGGCTTATTAAACGTTAAAAAATCAAACTAGGAGAAGGCAGGGCATAATTGCAAACGTTTTAAAAGCCCTAAGTTAATAATTAAAATGAAAAGTTTTTAAATATGTTGTCTGGTCACGTGACCCGGGCAAGATGACCTTTTGTGCAATTTCTGACTCCAATTTTATAAAAATTTGAAAACTAGCAACTAATCTGACTAAATAAACACAAATAAACACGCTTTGCATAAAAATATTCCTAAAAAGGTTACACTCGAAGGGCATCATTCATTATGAATAACCGAAAACAAGGTATATACCTTGCTTTTGGTTAAAAACTTATATATATTTTTTAAGCGCAAAAAGTAAACTTATGCGTAAAAAATTGCGTTAATAATACTTAAAAAAACCAATAGACGTTTTAAAATACAATTAAATACAGTTCCGTTTTCAAAACCTAATCTAAATACTATACATAAACTAAACACGATTAAAAAGCTTGATTTAAACTCGGACGCAATGGACGTGTCTTTCTTGCGTTTAAACGTTTTGTAAATTTTCAAAATAACTACCTTTATCTTATCTATTTCTAAATATTTTATCAAAAAAAAAAAAATGGCTAAAGTTGTTTGTATGATGAATGAAATAATGCACATACAACTATGGCTTTTTTTGTCAACTTGCAAATAGTTTAAATACCAAGAATGAAACTTGGAATTTCAAATGGTGTTAGAATTGAACGTGCCCATCAAGTTGGTAATAGTGGTTCTAAACAACTTGGAGAGTTAATAAAGAACTATTTGTATAAGCAAAAAGTCATAGACAAAATGACAATTTTGCAAAAGTTCTATATAATAAATTGAAAGTACAGGAAATTAGGCAAAAAATTTTAAAGCGGTCTTAATTTTGCCAACTATTTAGTAAGTAGTAATTTTTATTTTTAATGAATTCTGGATTGAACTTTTTTTTTAATCTTTTATTTTTTATTTTTAAAATGGCTAAAACTTATTTTGCTAACAAATATTTTAAAACTTTAAATTTTGATACTTTAAAGGATTTTTTAGCTTTCTAACTTAATAAATTTAATGAAAACATCATATTTTGAAATATAACTTGAAAATTAATAGGATTTTATTCTTTTTCTATATTACTTTTAAACATAAGAACCATGTGTCAAAATTTAGAAAAATTTAAAGACTTATAAATTACTTGTTGACGACATAGCTACGTCAGAGACTTAGCATGAAACAAATCGAATCATAGATTACCAAAGTAATTAGCCAGTCACGAGAAAACCATAACAAAGTTGTAGCGTTAAGAGCCTAAATACTTGAAATATATATATTTAGTATAAAAAAACAAACATTTATAGTCAATGAAAACTATGAAACTCTTTTTATTCAAATAATTAACAACAAAAATAAAAATACTATAACTCGATGTTTTTACAGTTCACCCTGTTGAAATCAGATTGTTTCAAAATTTTATTGAAAATTTGCCTAACTATCACAACTTTCTAAAATCGTTTTTTGATTTGTTGTGCAAATACAACGTTTTCCAAGTTAATAAACCTACACGGGTGAATAAAACCTCAAAAACTGCAATAAATAATATATTTATAAACCATGGTTTATAAGTATGATTTATAATGCATTACTTAGAATGTCATATCAGTCAGGCATTTTTAAAACAGATATAATCAATCTACATTAACATTTAAATATTTCTTTAGTACAAATTAATCAAGTTTCCTCAAACTGCCGAAGAAATTAAAAAAGTTTACAGAATTTTTAATAAATTTTGAAAATCAAAATGGAATTATTTTTAATAAAATAAAAAATTATTAAAATTATTAAAGTTTCAAGCGAAGAAAACACAAGTTTTTCTCGATACACATCATGCTGATTATCAATTCTAAGAAAACATATGTTTTCTTTGAATAATTATATAATAAATTATATAAATAATTATATACAAGATATATATCTTGTGGAATAATAATTCGAAAAATAAGACATCTTGCGGAATATTAATTTAAAAACATGTAAGTTTAATTAAATAAATTTTATTATATTATATGTAAGGTATATTTATCTTTTAATATATTAAATTATTAATGTATCACTTTCAGGGATATGAAGTCCTATGGATTTTTAGAGACTGTGAATCCGCATTTCGAGGTCAAAAAAGAGGGACTTCTTGACACCAAAATCCGGACTGCAAGACCTTTCTTCTATTTAAATAACTTTCTTGAGTTAATTAAACGGAGTTTTTAGGGATGAAACTGGTTCTGAAATGATAGATTTTCAATTCATTGTCACTACAACAAAAAGTTGCTGCTATGCAAAACTAATAAGTAAACGATGAAAATTCGAGCTTCCTTCAAGATGTTGAGTGGACAACTTTTGTTTGAACTTTAAAAAAATATACTTATCTAAAGAATTCAAATTCACCAATAATTTAATAATATAAATGCATATTTTAAATTTTATTGTTTTAACTATAACCCTTCTAACTTCATTTCTTTTTATCACTCAAAATATGCATACTGTGTATATGTTTTGATTGTTAATGTGAAAATTTAGCGTTTGTGTACTAATTTGTGGGCTATTGATATTTACGTTCACAAGGTAACGTGACATTTATTATTGTTTTTATTTATTTATTGTAAATGTGGATTTCGATGTGACATTTTGTTATTATCTTTTTTAGATTACATATTGATTTCGAAGAAAAAGTTTATCTAAACCACCCGACAAGAAAGGTATATGTGGCCCACATGTGGTCATAGTGCTTTCGTGTGGATTAAAGATGCAAAAATATATTACAATTGATGAATGACGTATTTGATGAAGATAAGTGTGGCCCACTTGTGGAACACATAATGCGGTTCACATAAATATTCCACTTAATGTGGCATAATCCTTAAATAAATATGTGCTAAATTTGATGTGGCTATCATCTGGGCCATACATATAAAACTCACGGTCTTGCCTCATTTTGAATTATAAATTTTAACCAATTGTAACAATTCTATCGCAATGCATTGTAAACTCTAGAATATTCCACGATATCATGTGGCTTACCGTTTTGATAATTTTCAATTTATAACTGTTGTAAGTATGTTTGAGCGATAAAAATAAATATATATAAAAGAAAAAGTGTAAATATATAAAATAAAAAACAAAATTCTGGGTGTAAAGACTTCTACACTATTGTAATATACAATTTGTTATCATTACTAAACTATGTTTTTTTAATGTGATTTTATGCGTAATTTAGGTTATATAGCAGCATTTATAATCTAAATAATGCATAAAATCACATAAAAAAAACATATATAACCCCCCTCCCGCAGGTTTACAAAATTCTATTAATTTTTGTCGGAAAATTGGAGCATTTGCAGCTCGGTTTAAACTGAAATTTGGCTTCTAAAAAAAAAAAAGAAATACAAAAAACCCTTGTCTGTAAAGTTAGCTTTTATCCTTTGCACCACCCCCACCCCCCAAGTCTTCGTTGTTCGGTACGGCCCTGTTTATATATAAGTATACAATATATATTATAAAAATCTTAAAAATGTTTATAATTTTGTAAAAAATAAAAATTAAAAAAAAAATGTTTGAGCGGTTTTGTTATGAATATGTTAGAGAATTGTTGTTCTAAATAAACTTTCCATAAAATTTGTAAATCAGAGTTATACTTAACGAATACAAATTTATAGTTATACACGGTCGTTCAAACTTTACTAAAAAGCGCCAGGTTATTTATTATACGCAGGCGCATTGGCATATTTGATATTTGAAGAATTTTCAAAATGGCTGTGGATCTTCGAAACAGAATTAACCTTTCTTAGCAACAATTTTATTTGCATTATTTGTTTTTATTTTTTGAATTTATAAATGATTTTTGTGCTATATAATAATAGAGACACCCTATTTTTTATAAAAATAACTAAAGTTAATATGTATATGAATAATTTTACTAATAAAATTGAGTTACTTTTGAAGTTATTATGCTGTGGTTTGTTTATAGTTTTCAAAATTATTTTTCTAAATATTTGAGCGTTAAACTTTTTCAGAATTTTCAAAAAAAGTTTTATAAATCTTATATGTTTTCATTTCTTTTAATTAATCTCAGGACACAATTTTTTTTCTTGTTCAAAATTCACATTTTCTCAAGTAAAGTTATAAAATACAATTTTTTACAAGGTCACAATTTTATAATTTATGATTATTTAAAAAAACAGAAAATTTTTTATTTATAAAATTAAATTTACTTTTTTTTAAAAGATTTTTTGGAAAATGTGTATTTAGGACCTCAAAGTCACCTCAAAGTCAGTAAAAAATGAGTTTTATGCAAAACCATACCTTAATGCTAAACCATAAACATAACCCAAAAGATTAAGACTAAGATTTTTCTTTAACTTATTTAAGGTATTAATTTCAATAATACTTATTTTTGTTCGACTCAATTTACAGTGGTTCTTAAATAGTATTTATTTATATTTGCACTAAAAGCTTTTATTATATTTGCACTTGAAAATTTTATTACAATTTTATTTATTTTTTAAATTAAATTTATAAAGCTGAGTTATGATTTGAATATAGTATTTTAGTAGTTAATAGTTATAAATAATAGTTTTGATTTCAATTTCATTCTTTATTTAAAAGTTATTAATTACTTTCTTTCTTTAGATGGATTTGCATATAACAAATTTGTCCTAAATGTTACAAAACAATTAACATAGTAATAAAAAGAATGTCATCAACTACTCTGCTTTTATGTACAAAGTTTACACCTCATTGTGATGACTGCTATACTTGTCATCGTGTAAAAAAACTGAGTCAGGGTGCTATTTTTTCAAATTCCCAAATAAGGAGTAAAACAAAGTTTATTGGCCATCCTAAAATTGGCGAAAAGGTTTGGAGTTTTTCTATCTTGAGTACTTTAAAGGAAAATATTTTGACATTACACAATTTGGAAATAGACAATAACGACTTGGTAAATGAATTTAATCCTTACTTACAGCTATGCATATGTTGTTTATGTGGTAAAATACCAAAACAACCGGTATTTTTGAAAAAATGTGAACATTTGTTTTGTTTTTTCTGTTTAGTGGAGATTATTAAAATTAGGTTCTTTAATGAAACTGCATGCCCAAAATGTAACGAACCTTTAATACCCGAAGACTTAGTTGCCAGCAATAAAACAAACTCCCTTATAAAAATGTTAAGTGTTGAATGTATTCTATGTAAAGAAAAGTTCAATGTAATAAAAGAATATGACGTATATATACATCATAAGCTTATATGCAATGGAAAATCTGTAACAAAATCATTATTTTTGTCCTCACCATTATCTTTACCAAGTTTGTCACCAACATTGTATACTTTTAACAATAGCATTTCTGAGATTTTCAATCTAACAGCTAATAGTAATATACCAAGAGTTGTTGAAGATGCTGCACTCCATGTTCTTAAACAAAAGATGGAAAAAAGTGGAGGAAAATCAATTTCATTTAAAAGTGGAGGACCTAGAGTAAAATTTGTTTAGTTTAGTTAAATCGATTTAAAAAAATTAATAACTGTATTCTTCCTAGATTCCTTTTTTTTTCAGCCAGTTCTGTTTTCATCTATTGCAAAGGCATATGTCACAAGCAATGAGGCATCAAGTACAACAATAAAAGAAAGAAATGCAATTTTGAAAAGAAATATGGAAATTGTGTCTGGTACATCTACTGATTCAGTTTGTAGCCAGTCTTTGAAGCTGCTGAAATCATTTCCATCAGAAACAAGAGAAAAAATATTGACTAATTTGAATATTGAAGGAGTTGCAATTAGTGCAACTAAAATGGTAGCTATGAAAGCAGATCTCGGTTTACCTTGGGAAAAGCTAAAAAATATATCTAGGTTATTATTTTTCTGCATATTTTTAAGTTTGTTCAAAAAATTATTTATTTTTATAGAATAGTGCAAATGATATTTTTACAGGTGGCTAAAGAGCTTTAATATAAAAACAGCATCACGTGCTTCTCAACGAATAATTAGTGAAAAACTTTCTGGGAACGACTTTATTGTAGAAAATGCTCCGTTTACATTTGAAAAAGAAAGTAAAGGGACGTTTGAAATAAAGGATGCAACATTCGGTTACATTGAAAGTTTGCAAACACATATTTTTAGACATCTTGATCAATTAGAAAGGTGATTTTTATTAAAATAATGAATTAAATAAAAATTTAAAAACATATTTTTAAAATAATTTTGCATTTAAAGTCCTAAATTTTAAATACCTATTTAATGTTAGAACAAAGACTTTTCTTATAAATTACTTTGTCGCTTATTTAACACATTAAACTTTTAATTATTTTATTTTACTTTCCCAAAAAACTATATTAAAACTGTAATGTCTGATGTCTATAATTTCTTGTAGTATTCTTGTGTTCAATAAAGTATTGAATGAAATCTTTTCAATTCTTTATTTAATACTTATTTTACTAATTTTGTTAATGTATTATTTATATAATACTTATATCTCTTCTATAGTTGTAAAAGTCTTCATTACCATGAGTTTTTTCCTGAGAAGGAAATACAGATTAAGATAGGAGTTGATTACGGTGGTGGAAGTTTCAAAATGACTTATCAGGTAGCAAATACCATAAACCCAAACAGCAAAGATAACACCATTGTTTTTAGCATTTTTGAGGCAAAGGATTACCAAATCAATATTAAAGTTGCCATTTCAAGATTTGAAAAACAAATAGAAGATCTTCAAAAAATGAAATATAAGTAAGTTTTCTTTAAATAACACTATTAGATAAAGTATAAATAAATCTTTTTTGTTTGTTTGCGCAATTCGCAATTCTAAATTGTTAATGAATAATTAGGTTACTTATACGTACCTGGTACGTTTAGGTACATAATTTGTTTTCAAAATCCCATCACGTATGTTTGGTAAAACTTGTGAAGGGATTTTTTTTTAATAAACAAATCAGATTAAAAAAAAAAGATTTTAACAAGTTAAATATTTTTATTTAGGCCTAATAAGATGAATAATTGTTAAAACATTTTGATAAGGTTTACATTATTCATTTCATAATCTTTATATGCATAGAGATTTTATTACAATAGTTTGTGTATTACACATTTATTTATAGTGATAGCAACATTAGAGTATTTATTTTTGGAGATTACAAGTTTCTATGTGCACTTTATGGTATTTCAGGTGCCTCAGGTATTTTTTTTTTCAAATTTTAAATTATTGGCTTTTTACGCTTATAGATATCCGATTCTCGATTTATGAATCAAAAATCAATTAACACTAATCTAATCTAAAATTCAAAATGATGACCCTGTTTAATAATATAATTTTTGTTCCTAATTATCAATATATCGTTTATTTTATTCTTGAGGGAGGCATTGTTGTCTTTTCTGCTATGCGACAGCAAGTGAAATGAAATGCATTGAACCTGAAATAAAGTATCGCACATTGAAAGATTTATGTTTGGATCATAAAAGGTTTATTGAAAACGGAGGTCTAAAGAATATTGCCAAAAATTTTAATAATGTCATAAATGAACCAATTTTAAAAATACCACTAGACCAAGTAATTTTTATTTTTTCTACCTTTAATTAATAATATCAAAGTACTATACTATATACAAATTATGTTTTTTTTAGGTGTCTTTACCTAGTCTTCACATGGCTCTTGGTATTTATTTAAACTTTTTTAACATGTTTGAAGAAGAAGTTCATCAATTGGACATATTGATGGCTGCTGAACCGCTAAAGAGCGGCATGAAATGCTCAGAAGAGTATGAAGTTTTTATAAACAAACAAAAGCAATTGTGGAATCTTCAAATAGAGATTCTAAATATTGATGATCAAATTGAATTAGTTAATGATGTCATTTTATTAGCTGCAGTAAATAATTCAGATGATGTAGATGATGCTCAATCTCTTTACTTGACAGAAATTGAGCTACTTTTTAATGAAAAAGAAAAAAAGGTAATTTTTGGATTGTGAGTTCATTAATTATAATACCTTGATATTAAGGTAATGTAAACCTGAACTAGTTTTTCAAGCACTTGGTAAAAAGGGTAATTTGGAATAAGTACATTTAGCAGCCAGGATAAAACATGAGTTTACTAGCTTTTACTCAATTAAGTTCATACTTAAAATGATAATGTTAGATATTAGATGCCTATATAAAAGTGACTTAGGCCCCTGGTACAAGTGGTTTTGATGGCTCAGATAAAATAAGGAACAAAAAAGAAAAAAAATCTTTTAATGTAAAAAAGGTATAATTGCTATAAAAATGTTTTTATAGCAATTATACCTTTTAGTCATTTTTGCCCCATTGTCCCCAAGACGCTAAAACCTTTGCTACTCCACTGGGTAATTTAAAATAGTATTTTAAAAATTTTGAAATCCATTGATAGTTTTTTATGTGTTTGTTATGTTTTTAGACAAATCTATTCAATACTCTTGAAGAATATTTTTTAAAGAAGGGTCAAGGACCTTGTACTCAAATGATTGAGACTATATTACAACAGCTTAATGTTCAACGCCAAGCATATCATGGAAAAAGTTTTATTGGAAATCATGTGCATAAAATGCTTAAAGTAAGTTAAGTTAAAAGTTTAAGATATAAAATAACTTAAAGTTTTAAAGTAATATTTCAACAAAAATTAACTGAAATACAGCATAAAATAAATTTTTTATTAACTATTAAATAGTAAGTAATGCTTTTATAATTTAGTTTTAAATTATTGTTTAGAAACCTTCAATACTTCGGTTATGCAACTCTATACCTAAGTTTGTTTATGATGAAGGTTATTCAGGGACCAATATACATCTAAAATCAATAGAAATTAGCAAGCAATACAAACAGCTCTTTGATAAATTTGCACAGTGTTATAACATATTTTCATCCAAAAATACTATTTCAACAGAAAAATTAAGTATTTTAAGTAAGTTTCATTTTTTTTTATTATGTGCTTAAATGTTATTCCTGATTTTTTGTATTAACTTTTATTGCATTAATATTTAAATTGTTCAGAAAAGAAGATAAACGATTTGATGCAATTTTATCGGGAAAATTGGCCCGAGGCCTCAGTGTCGCCAAAGTTACATATGCTGGAACGTCATACTGTTCCGTTTTTAAAAAAATGGAAAGCGGGATTTGGGTTTTATGGCGAGCAAGGCGGCGAGTCGATACATGCAGAGTTCAATAAACTGAAAAATATATATCAATCAATTCCTTGTCCAACAATGCAATTGAAAAGTATTCTGAAATCCCATTACCAAAAGACAAACCCAGAGAACATGCGACTTAAGCCATGTGTAAAAAAAAGAAAATTTGTTAAGAAAATTGCTTGAATATCGTCGAGTCTCCGAAGAAGGGAAATTAAAAACGGCTATTTTCATAGCCACAAA